TGGGAGTGAAACACACAAGCCACTCGGTCTTGTCCGGATTGAGTGCAAGCTTGTTTGCCCCCTTCCAGGCCCTGACAGCCTGCAGGCACTGACACATCACATCAACCGCTTCACTGAGTTGGCACGGGGCGGACAGATACAACTGAGTATCGTCCGTATACTGGTGATATTTTATCCCGTGCCGCCGAATGATCTCACTCAACGGCTTCATGTAGATGTTAAACAGGAGGGGGGACAGGACCGAACCCTGCGGCACCCCGTATTTCAGGGGCCTAGGGATCGACCTCTGCCCCCCAACCAACACCGACTGCAACCTGTCCGAAAGGTAGGAGAACCACTGAAGAACGGTGCCTCCCACCCCCACCTCCCGTAACCGCCGCAGAAGGATACCATGGTCGATGGTATCGAAGGCCTCTGAGAGGTCAAGAAGCACTAGGACGGAGGCATGACCTCTGTCCCTGGCTTTCTACAGATCATCGATCAGCGCGACCAAAGCTGTTTCCGTGCTGTAGCCAGGCCTGAATCCAGACTGAAAGGGATCCAGATAATTTTACTTCCTACACCACACATTGATTAAGTAATGGTTAAATCTTTAATATATGTAGAAGAGGGCAAGAGCCAGTTCTGCAAAAGCAAACTACATCACAAGATTCTTGGGACATCTTTACACAAAGTACAATGGGTAGTCCATAAACATAAGGTCACAATGAATATTTGCAGATAATTCTTGACTTACAATCATTCATTTAGTGACCGTTCAATTGTGGTAATAAGTCAAGGACTATCTGTACTTTTATCCATGATACACAGGCTGTGAAGGGACAGGGGAGACAAATTTAAAACACCTACTCAAACTTTATTGGAAGTGCTCTAAGCTTTAAATGACCTTACTGAAATAAGGCTGTATCAAAAGACAATATTTGTAGTATGGTGGTAACAACTCTGGAACATTTCCGGTACATCAAAACAATCCATTTGAAACTCAAAACACATTTTTCAAATTCTAAATATTCTATGTGTTGCCAGGAACTTACTTCTGCTAAGCTTTTTGATCTTGTTGTGCATGAAAAATATGTCACTTGTTTAAATCGGAAACTGAAGAGAGTAGCATAAGAACAAGGGTGCTGATTTTACTATTGATCTGCATCCCATGAAATGATAATGAAAGGCTGCCAGGGACATACCAGCAGGTTGGAGTGGACAACAGCATGGCTTGTATGTACATGGAAGGTTAACAGAGTGAATATGTGGTAGGTGGGAGACTGAGGAAGTGTTTTTGCTACATGATCTTTCAAATATTACTGCTTCGTTTTACTGAAGTCTTAACAAAAATGATAGTATGCCGCATATATTTTCACGCACTTTAAAAGTATTAAGGGATTAATGATGCACATGCTTGCTCCAGATCTCAGAGAAAGCTATTTGAAATTTACAACTGAACCATGAGTTAACAGAAAATTTGGGGGAAGAGGATTTATTCCTCCTGTCCATAAATCCAAGTATGCAATATTTCCAGAAATGGCATACATTGTCCCATTTAGGTGTTTAGGTCTAGATACAAATGTATAAAAATATGAGTGTATTATAGGTGAATTATTAGCACCACTTTTATTCAAAGAGACTTTATCTGTTATTTGGTAGAATACCTGAGCGGAAATTGAATTTGTTGCATCTGTTAAATGTGGGCCCAATTTAGGGGTTATTGGATTTGGAAGCACAGGTATCTGTAGATGCTTTTAATCCCATATTGGAGTATACATTTAAACAATGGGCTTACTCATGGGTAGCTGTGTCTGGAATTGCACTGTAAGATTATGCCTAAAGACCAAGTAAATCAATGTGCTGTTACCGAATGATTTCTTTCATCCATTTAATATTTAAAACACAGAATATACTGTAAGACTGCAAGCAATTCAGAAGCTTCAGCAAAGCAAAGGGAATTTTCCCCAGTATAAAGTCACAACCAGGTAAACAATATTCACACATGAATCTGCCTACCCAAATAACAATGCAAAAGTAACTCTCATATGTGAAACATACTGTACATTGTGCATTTTAAGCAGAGCATCATTTATACAAGTTGCAAACTTTATCACTACAGGAAAACAAATCAATGCTGGTCAACTACAATAGAACAACCAGTAAAATAAATTTAAAGTCCAGAATGCTGAATAATAGGAAAAGGTCAGAGCAAAAATTTTATCAACACTTGCAGCACCTGTAGATGGGAGGACCAACGTGCATTCTTATTCAGATTCCCAGAAAAGTACAGTCAGTCTAATAGACAAAACTGAGTCAAATGGAGCCCACTTGACTTGGTAGAAAGGCATTTCTCATTTTTCACTAGTACAAGTCCCAAGTCTCATTGAACGTACTTTGAAGAATTTGGAAATAATGAATGAAGACGAATATACCCGTATGTATACAGGTTGCGGGATCAAATATGAGTTGGTCACTGGGACCAGAGGTTTGTCTTCTGAGCTTTTGGACTTGGACTGGAGTCCGTCTTCAGGGAACTTCCAAAGAGAAGTTCCTAAAGACAAAACCTCTGGTCCTGGTCACAGAGCCAGTTTGGATCCTACAATTTGGAAATTGTTTGTCACTGTATATTTTGGGGATGCATCCCGTGGCATGTTCAAAAATGTATTGTCAAAAACAACAAACATTATTTACAAACAGCAAAGCTATATACAAATGTTCTTTACAGGTATAGCCACATTTCTAGATATGTAATAGGTTAAAGAGATCTGCCCTAAATTCCAGCACAGAATAGTAGACCATCATTGAAACATTGACTTGGAAACAGCAGATGGATATCACTAAGTCACATTTCAGCATGTGCTCACAGAACAGAACTGGGCTTAATAAGAAGTGCTGCATTCTGTAAGTGTCAGATTTAATTATTTCTGTAATAAATTCTGAAGTTGAATGAACCATTTATCATATAACATTCATGACCCAGTTCATGCCCTAGCTTAATTCAGTGTGGTGATAATACTTCTCTTCAAAAGATTCAGACAAACAAAACAATATTTTCTGACCTTCCCCAGAAAAAGAGATATTTTTTGCTGCATCAGGTTCTCTGGCCTTTGCAATTGGGCAGATTGAATCAGTTCAAAAAATGAGAAACCGATCATTTCATTCCAAAGCAATGCATCAGGAACATCCACTTTTAGCAAAATAGGCTAAAGGCTGCAGCTACTGTATATGTAGAGCATGATTTATTTTCATGTTTGGTCTACAAATCAGTAAATACATTGACATCTCCATTATTCATTAAAGAGATGGGTTGCATTTTCTCCTCTCTCTTATAAACGAAAGTAGTTAAAAGGACCTTTTAGAAGTGATATAGCCCAATCCAATTTGAGGCTCAGAATCATTCCGTCTCTTTTTTTATGAATTATATTAAAAAGTTAGGAAGGACAATTGATCAATGACTAATTTGTCAAACCAATCTTACTGCCTCTTCAGTTTGTGGCTTATGGAATGATTGCTTACTGTAATTGGTTGCTGTGCATTAGAATGATTGCTTACTTTACAATGATTAAAATTAGTCCATAATAGTCACAACTTATATTTGCTACTGTATTTTGCAGGAATGGTTTGGATTTGGAATCTTGATATTCTCATGTCTTTAATTTCTTTGGAATCATTATTTGATGGTTAGTTAATTACTGTTTTGATTGTTGTGAGCAACCCAAAGTTGTTGAGAGTCAGGCAGCATACAAATTTAATGAATTACTCTGTTAGACACACAGTCAGTCAGAGATATAGTCGTCCTAAGGACAGGCAGATGTTGTTGCCTGATGCTGTTAGAGGTATCATCAAAGGATGTCAGCTGTTCCAAGTAAGGCTGCTTTTTTGCAATTGACTGGTGGCGATTTTGTCAATGCCAATAATATTTAAGTGATGCTTCAGATGTTTTGTAATTCCAACCAAGTTGCCAATTTACTATTGATGCTATCCTTGTTTTCTTTTGTCAGTCATTCTACTTCTATTTGCAAGTCTTTGTATTTTGTGATTTTTCTCCAATTCTTTCTTTTCTTTTCTCTCTCCAGGCATTGCACTGTCCATTATCTGAACTTTTTTGTCTTTCTTATTTTTTGCTCTTTTTCAGAGCATAATGTTGCGTACCAAAAAGAGAATGGCCGGTATGTAAATCCATAAACAGATGTTTAGAGCAAAGATTATTTGTTTTGAATACTTTAATGATATTGCTTTTGTTCATGAACAATGTATATTAAATCAATGAATATTAGCAGCCAATGAAACCTTTTAAAAACGTCTATTATTTTGTTAATCAATATCTTTAAAATGCAAAGTTAAAGTTCATCTTAAAGACTTCTTCTCTGAAAACAGTTCTGTGAATCATTTACACTCCCCTTGATGAACAGTAGCAAGTGCTTACACTCAAATTTAACTGGAGGAATTACTGTTTAGAATTCAAGTTGAAGAGTGCTGTTTGAGCCTCTTGTGAATTTCTGACTGAAATGCCAGATGGAAGGGCCTTAGATAATAACCCAGATCAGCATTCCCCAATTTGCTATTCTCCCGATACATTAGAGTATAATTCTGTGAATTTCTAGTCCGCACAGATTGTGAGTAAACTGGCTGGGAATTCTAATATTGTAGCCCCAAGGCACCTGAAGAGCATCAGATTGAGGAAAGCTGCAGTACATTGAATATCTTTTTGAGCTTAATCGTATATGGGGAAAACATTTTACAGCATTTAGGCTGGATTTGTTGAAAGGACTTCTGTTACATTATTCTTGATAATAATTCCAATTTAAGTATTTCACTTAGGCATTCAAATTACATTTAGCACTACTCACCAACAATCAAAATTAAATCAAGAGTGATCACCAAGTTTTATCTTACCCCTTAGAGCAGGCAGCAGGGACCTTTCTTTCTTGTCATCGCATTTGTTACACTCACTGAAGTACAGAAGGAGAAACACATCCACCAAGACCCACATGAGAGAAGTGGCAAGGACCACTTTGCAGTAGGCAAATCTCCTCATCCTTTATTGAGTTATTAGTTACAGACTGTAGTAAAAGCAGGTGCTAATACGATGCTATATCCAAGCCAAGAAAGTTGGCACGAATGCACAGATGAAAACATCCCACTGAAAAATAAAAGCAGAAAAATTAGAATTAGCTGACAAGTAAACAACCTCGTAAACACAGTCATTTTCATCTACTACTGTTTTCTTTTAAAACATGTTTATTATTATTTTTTTATTGTCATCCATTTGTACACAAGAAATGCATACCAAATTTTCAGAAAGAAAAATGAAATGGAAGTGTGTAATGGTATGTGAAAATGGCTTTGGGAGACAGGAGGAAGAGCAGCAGACTAAACAACAGTCAGAGAAGAGCAACTATGTCTGCAGAAGGAATAGGAATGTAACAAATTTCTGAGAAGGCGCCCTCACTTGTTTTATGCACTGTAAAGATGAGGGGGGAGGGAGAATGTACTTTGAGATGTGCAAGATAGTTGTCAGCCTCGCAAAGTAGTCGAGACAAAAAGCATCCAGATATACTAACATTAACTTTACTGTAGAGTTACATTAAAGAGAATCTTGCAAGTCATTCCCATATTCCATTACAAGTGTATTTTAGTGGTGGTTGCTTTGATGTTTTCCAAATTCGGACTATGCGTATCTTTAAAGCACTCTTCAGAAATGTACACTGGCTCAAAAAAAAAAAATACGAGCAAGCGTAAACAGAGGGTTTAATGAATTCTCAAGTGAAATATCTTGTTGCAATAGCACTTACAAGAAAATGGATAAATGATATAGCATTGGTGTTAACTACAGCTAAAAGATGCGCTATTCATGCTCAAGTGGGCAGACATGGAGTATCAGCAACAATAGATGTTGTTTCACACCATTTCATAATACATGCAATTACATGGTCCCCCCCCCCTTAAAAAATCGCTTTCTGTTGGCATTTTGGGGGGTTCTTGTCTGGTCTATGCATAATCTTTCTTCAATTATTGTAGCATTTTCACTTTTACAATATGAAACAATTTTCCAAAGTAAGTCAACGATGTAATTCAGTTTCAGTTGATTATGATCAGTCAATAATGGTGCAATTAATCTCTTGATGACTCCGTTGAGAAAATATTGAAAAAAAGGGGGAACATAATACTGGGTGCGAGTTTCTTTAAATTTAAATTCATACATTTTCATTTATTATCTAGCAGGAGGTTGCTTCCTCTATTTACTTTTACTATTTTTTAATTTTGTAAACTTTTACCTTTCCAATGTATTAAAAACAGTTTTACAAGCTGAAATTCCAAGCTTCTTTCAAGTATCTTGAAGAAATGTCCCCAATGAGCCACATAACGCAGGAAGGGGAAAAAATTGGGACATTTGGAAGAATCAAGCACAGTGCAATAGATTTTAAGCCCAAATTCAGAAACCATGAATAGGAGGAATCAAAGCTGGTAAGCTGAATAAATAACCACTTTTAAATAACCCTAACCCTAACCCTGGTAGCCATTCCCAGGAACTATAGGTCAGAAAAATGGATGACTAATTGGATCATTATCTTAAAAACTGTGATAGAAGTAGCCACATTGAAACTGATTAAAAAATAAAAAGATGCTATATATAATTTATTTATAAGATAACACCTAAAAAGCAGGGTTATCTCCAAATTATGGTTTTGTTATACTGAAAAATGAGTTTCTTATAAAATTGAAAAATTTAAATTTCCATTCACTCATTCTTTAGAGCTCGACTTATCACGGAGTCATCATTTCTATATACAGGCAGTCCCCAACATATGCCCATGATTGAGCCCAAAACCTATGTTGCTAAGTGAGAAATTTGCTAAGTGAGTTTTGCCGTTTTACGAATTTCCTTGCCACATTTGTTAAGTGAATCATTGCAGTTCTTGAATTAGTAACACGGTTGTTAAGTGAGTATGGTTTCCCTGTTAATTTTCTTTGTCAGAAGTCGCAAAAGAGGATCATAAGACTCTGGGACACTGCAACCGTCATAAATGTGAGTCAGTTGTCAGGCATCCAAATGTAAATCACATGACCATGGGGTTGTTGCAATGGTCATAAGTGTGAAAAATAATCATGAGTCACTTTTTTCAGTGCCGTTCTAACTTTGAACTGTCACTAAAGGAACTGTTGCAAGTTGAGGACTACCAGTATTCAAACTCAAAACAGCAATACAGTAAATTTTAATTTAAAATATAATAAACTCCAACAAAATCAAAAAAATTAAAACAAACTCCTTTATAATGCATTATTAAAGGTCATTTCTTAAATACAGTTAATAGGGTTATTTCCATCTAGTTAATTTTCCCACTTAACATATTAAAATTATAATCGTGACGCAGTGGTTAGAGTGCAGTACTGCAGGCTACTTCTGCTGACTGCTAGCTGCCTGCAATTTGGCAGTTTGAATCTCACCAGGCTCAAGGTTGGCTCAGCCTTACATCCTTCCGAGGTTGGTAAAATGAGGACCCAGATTGTTGGGGGCAATAGGCTGACTCTGTAAACCGCTTAGAGAGGGCTGTAAAGCACTGTGAAATGGTAGATAAGTCTAAGGGCTATTAATTCCATGCAATGTTTCAAATGGCTTTCAGTTTTGATGAACAATGCCACAGAGGTTGTCTACTCCTGGTTAAAACATGTGACTGATCAATCCATATCTCAGTTCTCCCATGGTTAAATGGACTTTATCTGTCTCCTATCTTCTTTGGAACCAGTTTCATTTCCATAAAAAGTCTTTTTAACACTATGTTTTGTATGTCCAGCTTTGAGTGTATCTGCTAGAACAGCTGCTAATCTTTAAGGCCTCTCTTCCCTCCAGTTACAGCACATTAGCAAACATGCTCAGAGACTAGCCCACCCCAAGCATGATGGGACAAATGACACTCAGTACTAGAAACTAGGATTTTCCCCATGCTAGGCAGTAAGGAAGATCCCATTGTGAAAACAGAAATTATTTTCCCTCTGCTAACCTTTCTAGAAAAAGGGGTTTTTCATGTCAGCGCAAGGGGAAAGCCGGAGGAAGGAAGGCCTATAAAGTTGTATGTATGTACAAATGCTGGTGGTTATGACAGACAGTGCAAGAGAGGGGAAGGATATGTTTGTGTGCCTCTATGATTGGAAGGTGAAAACACATTTCTGTGTGGTTATGTATCAGGGGAATGCTGTGTGTCTGTTTCCTGTTTTTTATGGAACTATCTTAAGATAACTTTGACAAAAGACGGTGTTTAACCTATCCCTGAGGAATCAACAGCTTGCACACTATTTGATAACCAAGGCTGCTGTTCTCCTTGACTTTCCTTTATTAAAACAAACTCAGTGGAAAAAGCATCCAGAAAACTCACACATTACTATGTCATACGCACTCCAAGTGTAAATACTTTACGTGGGTAACAATTAGGGCAAAAACTACTACACATATAGTTATCTGAGTTTTGGGAGAGAATCTGTCTCAGCCCATCTCACACAGATTATTTTCCACATCAGTCATGACTTGCCCCCTGCAACAAGAATAGTGGAGTGTGTAAACTCATATTATATATCCAATCTTATCATGACACCCAAGCAAAAGCTGCGAAGACTTTCAAAATAGTATTCATGCCATCTAAGAAAATCTATATATATAAAAACCAAATACCACTCGCTCATCACAAAATCTCCAGAACCGTACAGTCTACAAACATGAAATTTGTCACGTATGTTCCTCTTGGCTTCTAGGTGCTTGCTAAGAAAGGATTTTTTGAAATGACCATCAGATCATTAGTATTTCTTATACAATAATTAATAAGCTCTGATCAGGGGTGGGTTCCAGCTTCTTCTACTGCTGGTTCGCTCAGGGATGTGCTTTGGATACGCGCACGTTTGATGCGTGCTATGCACATTTGATGCACTCTATGTGAAGCAAAAACAAGATGACAATGCCACCAGCAGAGTCGATAGAACCAGTTTGGGGGCATGGCCAGCCAAGTTACTACCCACTTGTTCGAACCAGTCTGAATTGGTAGAAACCCACCTCTGGCTCTGATTCTAAGGAGTTCTACTCCCCCTCCCCACCTGAAAATAATTCTGTTCCAGCTGCCAGTTTCCTCACATTCTGTTACCTCAGATCAAACTGGCAGACGTTCCATTCCTTCACTCAGGAGCGGTGGCTCCTTACAGTACTAAACGTTGGTACCTCACCAAAATGTCTACGCCTTCCACCTATGGAACTGCTTCCAGACTCAAGGTGGCAGGAATGATATTCCCTTATGTGTTTCAATCACTGACCACCTCTGAACCAATGGACTGAACCAGAGTGAACTGGATTTCTCCTGCATTGCCCAATCACATCGTTTCATCACAAACACTGGTATCCAGCTAGTGAAATATATAATATTCAAGGTATATAGATCTGGATCCTAAGGTACGTTAATACAAAGATGTTTGTAGAAGAAAAGCTTGCCACCCTTCCACTGCTTTTCATTAAGTTATTCCATGTATTCTACATAATCCCCTGGGTTGAAATGGAAGCAATTACATTCAAGAAATCCCTATAACATTCTTGGACTATTTCTAACTATTTCTAAACACTGAGTAAACTTAAAATCTCTCAGTGAGAAATCTGAAATGCTCTCAGTGTAATATTTTTACTGTAAGTAATATATTGAGAGCTATATATTCCAGAAACAGAGACGAAAAGATACTAGACAGAAAGGATGTAGCAGACTAGAAGGTGCCTGAACAAATTCAGAACGTCATTCAACCTATTAGGTTCATGACTCTTTAATTTAGTTCTCACTGTAGTGTTAGAGGCTTTGAGCCAGCATCCGAAGATACAAAGGCTGCTACACAACAGATTTAATATACACAGGCCTTGGCTTCCAGCAGTTTTCTTCTTAAAATAGTGTGTCTTTTAATTGAACTGTAAGGGTGGCTTAGTGGCTAAGACACTGAGCTTGTCGATCAGAAAGGTCAAAAGTTCGGTGGTTCGAATCCCTAGTGCCGCATAACAAAGTGAACGCCCGTTACTTGTCACAGCTTCTGCCAACCTAGCAGTTCAAAAGCATGTAAAAAATGCAAGTAGAAAAAAAGGAACCACCTTTGGTGGGAAGCTAGCAGCATTCTGTGCGCCTTCAGTGTTTAGTGATGCTGACCACATGACCACAGAGAAATCTTTGTTTTAGTATATTTTATTTTCATTTTCATACACTCACATGTACACCCCATACAGTATTAAACAGTAATTCCATCAATTCCTCTTGTCGACAATGCCCCAGAAAATAAAAGCCCAATATACCTCTTCTCTTCTCCATACACCTCTTTTTTCCACCACCCTCCAACTTTCTATCTTCCCTCCATCATCCCCCTCTACCCTACTTCCCCTCGNCGTAATTGTTGACCACGCCTCCTCTGACTGGGATAGTTCAGTTTTTTAACTCAGTCCAGCCTTAAAGAGATGCAAATTTTTTCTTCTCTAGGATAATAAACAAAATTAAGTCATTTGACTTGGATTTTTTCCTCTTTTTGGTACGCGTTTGATTACGGATTGTTGGTGTTCATTTCTTTAAAATTATAGAACTTGCGGTTCCTTGCGACTCTAGTGGCCGCAGGAACATTCGCCAGGAGGCTTACTCGCTGGACGCCTGAACGGGTCTTATCAGTAGAGAGTCAGTTTGCTAGCCCCAGAGTAGGGTAGGAGTGGAGATTTGTAGATTTTGCCACGCCCACCAAGCCATGACCACAGAACTGGTAGTAAAAAAATTTGAATTTCGCCCCTGATTGAATTCCATTTCAGCAAATAGCAGATCAAGTGCATGATGCAAAATCAGTTCCCACCCATTATATTTAAAAGCTGTGCTTTCTGTCCCAGCAAAATCTATTTCATATCAAATTCTTTGCCATTTTATTATTTAGTAATTCCTTTTATAGGTTCAGAAGAAGGAAAGTGGTCAACGGTATAAATCATATCTGGACTTCACAGGCCTGGATTTAAAGCTTTTCTGGAATTTTTATAGTAAACTTCACCAAAAGTAGGTCCCTTTCCATTATACTAAACAAAAATCAGTGCAGTCAGTTGAATGTGTGATTATCATTGTGGTGGTTATTAATAGTGAACATTATTAATAGTGAACAAAACCTTCAGCTTTGGTCTATTGTCAAATACGTGAGTACAATCACAGTGTCCTGTTGGGTGTAACAAATCAACAGATTGGAAGGCGTGAAACCGGTATGTTATAATAAGTGATAAATCACATTTGCAATTATCTGTAGACACAATGCTGTTGTTTAAAGGAAATCAAAATCTAAAGCAAGTATTGGATATTCCAGAACTCTGTTACATAGTGCCTTCCGGAGGCATTTATTAACTCCCACAACCAAGCGTTATAAAGATTTTCTGCTGATTCGCATATAGGAAGTTACACAATGTAAGGTTCTAGGCTTGATTATGTTTAGGGAAAGCTTTTTAAATGCTGAATTACTGTCTTAACCATAGTTTCATGGCAAATGTTTTGTGGCTTCTCCTTGTAGCCCAAGAGAAGAATGCATTGATGCCCAGGCCGTGCTCTTACAGCTTCTTCAGAGTTGTTTCTCAATGCTTACATCAGATCCCAAGGCTGCAAAGACTGAGAAAGCTGCTCAGAAAACAACACTTGAAAGTACAGAAGCAGCAGAGGAACTTTATAAACATTTGTGTGAAGGTAATTATACCCATCTTTCACTGCAGTCCATGGATTCAATGCAGTTGCGACTTCTTCCTTTAATATAATAATATGAGGCATTTATAGAGCAGAGTAGCTGGCAATTCTTCGAGGAGGTGTGGGAAAGGGAATGCACTTGCTATGAAATTCCTGGGAACAAGGATCTCATACTGATCCTTGATTCCATGACAGATACCTAATCTCAGATCTCAAGATGACTGGCACTTGGAGTTGAGTTTACTTTCTGTTTAGGGAAGGAGGAAAACTAACTGTACCTGAAGTTCACCCATTTATAGGTGAAACTCGAAAAATTAGAATATCATGCAAAAGTTCATTTATTTCAGTAAAATAAATATTTCAGCAACTTAGAAGGTGAAACTAATATATGAGATAGACTCATTACATGCAAAGCAAGATAGTTCAAGCCGTGATTTGTCATAATTGTGATGAATATGGCTTACAGCTCATGGAAACCCCAAATCCACAAATTCAGAAAATTAGA